GTCCCTACTGTTTAAATTTTAGAAGCAGCCATGTGCTAATTTTATAATTGAAAAACAGAAAACAACCAAGTCCCCACCAACGCAAAAACTCTGGTAAGAGACACAATCCTTTGAGAAGAATCAACCTTCCACTGCTCCTCTTGTCTCCGGAAGTGCAGGCAAGGGACTAGGGATGCAAGAAAAAAGGTTCTGTGACCACTGAAATCTGAGAAACACCGGGTTAGACAAGATCAAACAGCCGCCTTCTCTGGGGAAGCTAACATTGATGGTAAATTTCACATGGGACGCTTCACAGCTGAGGCTGTGTTGATTTGGACCCAGAACTGTTTTCTTTCCGGGCACCTCGTGGGACTAGCATTCTTTAGACCAAGGGTTGGAAATATAGCTCCAGATATCTTCCAACCAACACCAGGATGGGGGCCCCGCTCGCCTCCACCCCACCCACAAACTCAGCTCCCCTCAGCACTGCTCTCACTGAATTGAGCTTGGCCTTGAAGCCATCAGCTTGTGGGTCTGTGCATGGATTTATAGGATCCCACTGTGGTGTTGGAGAAGACTCTTGAGAGCCCCTTGGACTGCAAGGAGATCCAACCAGTCCATCCTAAAGGAAATTAGTCCTGAATATTCACTGGAAGGACTGATGTTGAAGCTGAAACTCTAATACTTTGGCCACCTGATGCAAAGAACTGACCTCATTTGAAAAGACCCTGATGCCGGGAATGATTGAAGGTGGGAGGAGAAGGGGACGACAGAGGATAAGATGGTTGGATGGCATCACCGACTCAATGGACATGAGTTTGAGTAAGCTCCAGGAGTTAGTGATGGACAGGGAGGCCTGGTGTGTTGCAGTCAGAGTCGGATACAACTGAGCGACTGAACTGAACTGAACCGAACTGATGTGTGATATATATGTGGTCCCTGCCTCTGCCTCTGAACATCCATGCACACCTACATTTCCTAGTGATGATATGAATGATATTTGGGCTAGGAAGGGAAGGATCATGTGTGTGTGCGTGTCTATGTGTCTGTAGGAAGATATATGTGGGACTCTCCTCCAATATAGACCCTGTGGCCCAGCCTAGAATTCTCACACCCACTAGAACACACAGGAAACAAGCTCATTTGCAAAGCTACACCACAAGTGTGAAGGAATGGGCTGCCCACTGGCCTGCCAAGGTGTTAAGTAGGAGTAATTCCGGGTATGGACAGCCCCCCCAACATCCCCACCACACACACACCCTTGGGTACACCATTTGCAGGAGAAGTGGTTGCCTAACCTCTGTTAAGCACCTACTGCATGCCAGGTACTACCCACTGCACATCACAGCCATTTTCTCTTTGATTTCCCACCAGCACTCTCTGGTGGGAAATCAAAGAGGATTTATCATTAGCTCTTTACCAATAAATCAACTGGAGTTTGGAGAAGTGAGGTCATTTGTTCAAGGAAGTGGCAGAACCAGAACTGTGCCTGGGTCAGTCTGACTGCGAAATGCATGTCCTTACTTCGCTCTACACCAAACCCGCTGGCTCTCTTGTGTTTGGTTTGGCCCTGAGGTCTCTGCCCTCCTAGGACCCAAGGAACAACCCAGAGACAGTGACTCTGGCTGCATATCCTAGGTACTCTGCAAAATAGGCCTTTGTCTTCTCAGAACCACCTGACTCTTTCAGGAAGCCTTCCGATCACCCAAGGGAAGCCTCCTCTCGATCTCCGGAGCTTCCGCCCATTCTCTTGCTCCATCTCTTGGCCCTTTTTCCCTTTGAGAAGCGCCTCTGTCCCAGAGCCTCGAGGGCGAGGGACCCTGAATCATCCTTCAGCACAGGCTGGGGTGTGGGATGGCCCATGCCGGTCCAGGGTCGGGAGGAGTCTAGGGAAGACCCAGCTTGTTTTCCAGGCCCCACAAGAGGCTGCAGGCCTTGGAGCTGGGGACGAAAGACTGCGACATGGCTGAGACTGTGGAAACTGTTTCAAGAAAAACTCCAATGGCGGTGGGGGAGGCAGGGGAAACCTGGAAAATGTGGCTCAGGTGGGGATTTACCCCATAAACTGCAGGCTGAGAGCTAAAGTGAGGGGGTGGACAGGGAGCTGACTCTGCCTCCCTGGGCCTCCACCTTCCTGGGGTCTGAAGTAGGAACCAGCAGGACCCACTGGCCTGAAGCAGGCAGCAGCAGGGGTGGGGGTGGGGGGCGGGAGGGAGCAAAGGGAAGAGGAAAGGACATCCTGTGGACACTTGGCAGGGGCAGGAGTGGCAAATTTCCAGATGGAAATCCAGACAGTCCTTGCCCAGGGCCAACGGCACCCCTGTCCAGAATAAAAATAGCCCTTCCTCTTCCCTTCTCCCATCATCCTCTCACCCCCCAACTTCCCGGAGTCCTGTCAGATACTTCCGCCCCAGGCCCCATCCCAGATGGTAAATATCCCCTTGCACGCCCATCCATTCCCAAAGGAAGACCCCCTCCTTCTCTCAAGCAGTGTGGGTCGAGGCTAAAGTCACTTCTCACGTGTCCCTCCGGATGCTCTGGGTGATTCCCCTCCCTCTCTCAAGAGAGTCTTGTCATTGGGGTCTGCACCAGCAAGCGGAAGGACTCTTGGGACCCTTGACTCAAGCCTGTCCATCACCTTGCTCCAGGGAGGACTCACATCCTAGGCCATGACCTCTCCCTGGGTCATCACCCTATCTGCTTCTGCCTTGCTGACGGACTGTGGGGAGGGAGTGCTTTGCCCAATCTGGGCCTCAGGAAGCTTATCCATCATGGGATGAGGGGCTGGATGTAGGGATTTCTGAAGGCCTCTACAGTACCTAAGAGATCCCCAAGGAGAAAGCTCCCAGTGAGGTGGGCACTGATGGCAGGCACTGCGGTGGAGGCAGGAAGCGACAGCTACACAGGAAAGGGGAGATCTGGCTGTTCAGCCTGCCTCCCACCTGACCTCCAGGTGTTCCTGACCCCAGCCTGAAGGGCTGCTGCCTCCCGGGGGAGCCTGACCCCAGGCCCAGCTGCAGCCTTCTGCTCGCAGGTCCCACACCCAGCCCTTAGACCCCTGTTCCCGGTACTCCTTACCTGCCCAGCCCAGGAGCCCCCGGCCCCATTCACATGGTCTTCCTGGCCTAGCCCGGCTGCCCAGCACAGCTTCGGCTCCCCTCACCGTCGTAGCCACCGGCTGTCTCCCCGCGCCCACGTCCCACCCTGACTTCCTGCCTCCTCCTGAGGGCTCCGCAGCCAACCGGGCCCCAGCAGCCCAACCGCAAGCCTCCAGCACCCCAAGCTTCCTGCTGCCATCGCCCCCTGCCTCTCAGCCCTCGAGGGTCCTTTCACCCCCAGTCCAGGCCCCATTCACCCCGAAGGTGGCACCCGGAGGTGGCGGAGGATATTGGATGTAACTTCCTCCGCCCCCCGAGGGAGCACCTGGACCAGAGATTCAAGGGCTGCCTTGAAGCCCCAGTGAGCAGGAGGCGAGTAGACACCCACTCAGCTTTCAGCGAAGGGCAAGCTGCACGGCTGTCGGTCTGAGGGCCAGGTGACCCTTTCAATACAGTCAGAGTGCAAAAGTAACATCACCTCAGAGTCGAGGGGGGAACGACATCCCTGTAAAATCGCTGGAGAGCAGATACGATGCTAGGTAGTCAGATAGATACCAGGCACACACAGCTGCTAGACACACAATGGAACCACAGCTATGCCATGTCAGGGCATGGGGCAAGAACTTTATTATTTGCAGAGGGGAGGCTAACACCCCTCTTACAGACAGTCCGCTGGACAACAGGCTGTTCAAGGAAGCAGACAGGACCACCTGGTGTCTTTAAGGGAGCAGAGTCATAGCCTCTTCTGTGGGCAGAGGGCAGGACAACACCCCCTAATTATGGTTGGAGAGTAGGGCAACCCTTCTAACTCAGGTAGAGACGAGGCCACAGCCCCTGTCAGAGGCGAAGGCCTGACACCACCTCCTGCAACAGGTGGGAGACAGAACAAACACTCCTGCTCAGGCTCCCGGTGCAGGCGATAGACTGGCAGCACTTTCTGTTACAGGCAGGAGGCAGGGACCCTGTCACAAGCACGAAGCAGGCCAACAATCTCCCTTTCCTCAGGGGCCAGGCTGAGGGTGGCAGATGCCAGAGGCTGAGGGTCAGGTCACCAGTGTTACGAGGAACTCTAGGTGGCCTCTCTCAGGCCCAAGAGCTGGGCTTTGACCCCACCCATCGGAAAACAAACCTGTTGCCACCGCCTGAGCCTGCACTGAGGCAGCAGGTTGGGGGAGGGGAAGCCCACAGAGCATTGTTGGGGTTTGTGAGGTGGAAGCTGATGCTGTATGCACCTTCAGCTGCTGCGGAGAGAAGGGGGAGACAGGAAACGGGTGGGGGGAAGAGGAAGCCTGAGTTGGAAAGTCAGACAAAGAGGGTGACACAGAAACAAAAGCTGAGAAACACAGTTTTTTTTTTTTTGAAACAAAAAAAAACAGCCCTACAGAATGACACAGAGCCCAGAGTCCGGCTGCAGGCTCCAGCTCCCCTTGCTATGAACCTGAGCTCTTCGCAGTGCATCTCTGGGCCCCAGGACAACAGTAAGAACACGACTGGGGCTAGTGATAATAATGTACTTTTATTGAGGATTTACTGTACATTATCTCACTTAAGATGTATCTAACTACTTGTGGAGTTGGATTTTCCATTTTAAAGATAAAGAAACAGATGCAGAGTTTAAGAGACCTCCTCCAGGTCTGAGAGAATCAATGTTGCAGCTGGCATTGAACCCAGGTCTATAAGATCCTGCATTCTTCAGCAGCTCATTTATCTGAGTCACATTCCATAGGGGTGATTTAGACTGTTAAGTTCTTTTCCAGTCCTGATCTTGATGAGATAGAGCGATAGAAGTGGAGCAGTGGGGGAGATGAGGAGGGCTTCTCTCTACCAGCAAGGCCAGCCTCCTCTCCCGAGGTAGAACCCTTGGCCCTAGCAACCAGCGAGACAGTGAACCCGGGCCTGAATAAAGGACTGCGGAGACCTTGATGGGAAGCAGAGATTTATTGAGGAGACTGGGGGGTCTGTGAACTCCTCCCCTTCCTCCAAACCGCCCTCCTCCCCCATCCGGGCAGCAGGGCCCCAGGATACTGGGGCTTTAAGCTCCCAGAGCGCTGAGCATCTCCCCAGCTCTACCCCGACCCTTCTCCAGGTGCTGGCTCCTCTGGGGCGCCCTTCTCTTCCTTCGTCCCAGGTGGGCAGGGGAATGGGTAGCGGGTGGTGCAGGAGACACGCAGGGATCCCTTAGCAGAGGGTGAAGCGCCGGGCGCTGATGTTCATGCGCGTAAGGCCCAGGTGCCGCAGTGGCGGGGCCAGGGCCAGGCCGGCCCCAGGCTCCAGCTCCAGCTCCAGCTCGGCCTCGTTCAGCAGCTCTTGGTGCAGGTGACAGACTTGGTCCACCTTCAGCCGGTGCAGCTGGGCCCGCAGCCTAAGCAGCTGCCCTGCCAGCTGCCGGTCCTGTGCCTGCATCTCCCGCTGCGGCCGAGAGAGGGCATGAGCCCGCTGAACCTCCATTCTTCCCTTCCGGTCCACACCTGGGGGGCTTTGCCCTGGCTCTGTCCTTCCCACCCCCTCATACCCTGGCTCTATATAGCCCATCTCATAGGTCTTGCTCTAAAACTAAGCTAAACAAGTACAGGTTCCTGGGGCCTGATCTTAGATCAACTAGATGGAATCTCCAGTCTGGAAGCTGGACAGTTTTATATTTGCACATACTGGATTAAGAGCCACTTAGTTAATACTGGCCTCCTCTGGGACAGCATCGTTAGTGCCTCCTTTGTATCTTTGGGGTATAGCAATTTGCAGAGGAGACTGGGAGGCCATGCCTTCCCTAGCTATCCCTGGTGGCCCCCAAGGGCAGGATTCTGTCCTCTGAGCCACAGGAGCATGAGGTCAGTAGACTGATGGACTCCTTCTTCAGTAAGGCTCCCTGAATAAAACACTGGACAAGTTCATTCCTGGCTCCTCAACCCTGGGACAAAGCCACAGGAGAGGGCAGTTGCTGGAGGCAGGGTCATTCTCCCCATACCCCGGGTTTTGGGCCCTGAGGACTGCCCTCAAGGCCCTCTGCAAGGCCGCCCACCGCACCAGACTCACCAGCTCCCGTCGGAGCCACTCAAGGGCAGAGTCCATTGAGTCGAATCCGCAAATGGCCCCAGGTCCCCTGGGCTCGGGTCTGGCTTGGGCCCTGCGCCAGGCCTGGCTCTGGACCCGGGCTGTCCACTCCAGGTATGAGGGCCGCCGTGTCTGCAGCTGCAGCTTGGCTGTCAGCGCCTTCACAGAGTCCAAGCTCTCTGCTTCCTCATCCTCCTCATTTTCACCCACTGCCTGGAATTTTAATGGTCCCAGGGACATGGTAGGGGGTGAGCAGCGACAGGGAAAGGCTGCAGCTATGGGGTTAGGGAAAGGCTGGCAGTATTACCCAGGGAGAAGTGGGAGAAGCTGAGAGTGAAAGAAATGAGCCAGAGAGTGTGCGATGGTGAATGTTCAAGGTGGGTCAGGGAGGCTTGAGTGTGTCAGGGTAAGCAGATGGGTGTGGGAGGCTGAGTGTGCAAGGGCTGGGATTTTCCTGGACTGCTATCCCAGGAGCCACGTGATGCCCATCCGGGTGGGGGCAGGAGGAGCCCTGCGCCTCTGGCCCCTTGGATGAAATTTATTGTCTTTGCCCAAAAGGAGACACCCAGTTCCCAGAAAGGAAGTTGCTCCAGGATAAGAAAAGCATCGTCCACACCAGAGTCTTGGCCCTCTTCCCAAGACCCAAGTTAAGGGATTGGGGAGGGGATAGGAGGCTGACAAGCTGCCCCCAGTCCTGACTCATGACTGTGGCCCTTCAGCAAAGGAATAGTGTCCAGATCCCCAATTTGGGACTCAGGAGACTTGCGTTCCAGTGCTGGCTCTATGGGACCTTGGACAAGTCACTGACTCTTGGGACAGATCAATGATTTCAGGCTATATTCTAAGGAACTTTAGGTTCCCTTGGAGATCCCACAAGGACTGTGTGCAGGGTAAAGGCAGAGCTGCGGATGGCTCCTCGACCTTCCTCTCCCTGCCCCTCCCAGGACTTCAACCAGAGCATTTCCCTTTTTAAACTTTGTATTGAAATATAACACACACCCAAAAAAATTTACTTGTCATAAATACATGACTTGATGAATTCTCCCCAACTGAACACACTGATGTAAACAGATCAAGCAAAGGAGTATTACCATCAACCAGGAAGCTCCTTTGTGTCTAGAACACTCTCCTAATGTAACCAAGCATAGCTTGCCCATGCACCTACAGTTCAGAAAGCCAAACTCTGACAGGGTGTTTGCAGCAAAGGGTTTATTGCAGGGGGGCCAAGCAGGGGAGTAAGAGACAAGTCTCAGATCCACATCAACTTTGTCTTTGTATGTTTTTCTTTTTTGTTTTAAAGGGGAAGAATTGGACTTCCCCAGTGGTCCAGTGGTTAAGACTTCCACCGCAGTAGGCACGGGTTCAATCCCTGGTTGGGGAAGTTCCACATGCCACGTGGTAGGGCAAAAAGAAAGAAAGAAAAGGGGGAAGAAAAGGGGAAGAACAAAGAGGCTGGGATTAATCATCACCTTGTGATGTTTCTGTGACATTTCTTAATAGTAGTTTCAGAGTCAGAATGTCTCTTCTGTTCAGTTCAGTTCAGTCGCTAAGTCGTGTCTGACTCTTTGCGACCCCGTGAACCCCACACAGCATGCCAGGCCTCCCTGTCCATCACCAACTCCCGGAGTCCACCCAAACCCATGTCCATTGTGTCAGTGATGCCATCCAACCATCTCATCCTCTGTCCTCCCCTTCTCCTCCTGCCCTCAATCTTTCCCAGCATCAGGGTCTTTTCAAATGAGTCAGCTCTTCTCATCAGGTGGCCAAAGTATTGGAGTTTCAGCTTCAACATCAGTCCTTCCAATGAATATTCAGGACTGATGCCCTTTAGGATGGACTAGTTGGATCTCCTTGCAGTCCAAGGGGCTCTCAAGAGTCTTCTCCAACACCACAGTTCAAAAGCATCAGTTGTTCGGTGCTCAGCTTTCTTTATAGTCCCACTGTCACATCCATACATGACTACTGGAAAAACCAAAGCTTTGACTAGACAGAGGGGATAAAAAAGATTAAAAAGTTTTGGATAGAGAGATTAATCATAAACTCAGTAAGGGAACTTGGTTTCTGGGGAACCCAGTTTCAGTAATACTGCTCTAATTTTTGACAGCCTAGATTAGTTTTGCTTTTTTGTATACTTTCCAGTCTTTCTCAGTCTTTCACATAGATCCTAATCCCCTGGAAACTTATCAAAATAGACTGCCCCATTCCCAGAGATTCAGATTCAGTATATTTGGAGTAGGGCCTACAATTTGCATTTTTAACGAATTCCCATCCCAGCTGATGCTCCTGGTCTGGAATTTCACAATTTATACTCTTTTATATCTAGTTCCTTTTATAGAGCGGTTCAAACTTTGTGTTTATATTATGTGTGTGTGGGGGGGGGGGGTAGGAATCCACTTATGATTTCATTCTTTGAAAGAAGGGTTTTGCACACACACAAAAGCCTGGAACCTAGTAGACCAGAAGGCTCTTTAAAGGCGGGAGTACCTTTTATTTTTCTTAGTGACCAGAACTTAACACATTGTAGGCATCACTGTTTAAAAAATAAAAGAATATTTGGATGGATGGGTCCTCCAGTAAATAGATTGAAACTCTTGTAATTTACCAGTTTGTGTCTCTTGCCAGACTGAAAACCCTGTGAAGGAAAACTTCCTCAGCCACCCTTGGGTCCCTAGGGCCCAGCTCAGTGTATAGGCAATTCCCCTTTGGTCAAAGGATGGAGTGATGAGGGATGGGGCTCCAGAGGGCAGAACTGTACCAGATGTGGCCCCCACAGAGGGCGCCCTCAGGCAAGGACTGCCAGCTGTGGTGGGGGAGGGGTGCCAGCTACACAGCTGCTTGCATTTAAGGTGGACCCAGGGATTTCCCCACCCAGCCTCAGCTGTAGGAGAGGATGCAGACACTTCCTAGTTTCACACTCACCCTTTCCACCCCTCCCACCAGGGTACTGGAGAAGAGACGGGTATTTTTCTTTGTTTTTTAAATCGGTGGGAGTGCCAGCACCTTAGAGATTTTTTTTTTTTAATGCCTCCTGCGACCCAGACACGAGGTCTTAAAGGACTTTAGCAAGATTTTTCTCCCCCATTTCACAGATGCTGAAATGGAGGTTTCCCTAACAGGTTCTAGTCCCGGGGTCCTCACTAAGAAGTGCTAGCAATGCGATGGGGGTGGGGGAATTCCTGTGAAACTGTGCGATCTCTTCCTCCAAGGGGCCTCCTTAACAGCTGTCCTGCCGGCGTCGCCAGCTGCCCAGCCAGTTCCTGTCCCTTTCGGAGCCCGCGCTCACCCCGCCTGACGCTCGGAGTCAATCCCTGCCGGGCGTCAGGCCCGCCGCTGGAGGAATGGAGTTCGCGGAGCTGATCCGCACCGGCCAGGCCCAAGCCGAGCTCCTTCGGGGCCCAGAGGAGCCCCCGCTGCGTGGCACGCTTTGTATCACCGGCCACCACCTGCTGCTGTCGCCAGGGCCCCAGGCGACTCCAGACCTGTGGCTGCTGCTGTTGCGTAACGTTGACTCCATCGAGAAGCGGTGAGACGTGGCGAAGGCGTCCCCGTAGTCAGGGAGCGCGTGGCTCGGCAGGGAGAGGGGAAGGGGCTAGCGCAGTGGAGCTGGTGCCCCCCTGCATAACGTACAATCCTAAGAAACTCCTTTCTCCTCCCCCTGGTGGGGGTCAGTGGACATTAAACCTAAGCTTGTGCATTCCCAGCGTTGCGGGTGACTCGGGCACCATCACGCTGCGCTGTAAGGACCTGCGAGTGTTGCAGCTGGACATAGACGGCGTGGAGGCGACGCTGGACATCGCCCGCTCCATCGAGGTACGCCAAGGATGCAACGGAGGCACTTAAGTTGCCCTATCCCGTAACGGGAGGAGTCAGCAGGGTTTACTTCTCAAGGGGGCTCAGGATCCAGCGTTGTCCCGGAGCAGAAGGGGATGCAGGGTGGTCTGGAATGCGTGGATAGGTAGGAGCTGCGGAACGGAGGACTGGATTCCGATCTTTTCCAGATCCCTTGACTTCCTTCCCCAGGCGCTGTCCTCCCTGGAATCGGTCATCACCTCCTTTCCGTTCTTCTACCGTCCCAAAGGTTTGAGGTTGGGCGACGCCTGGCACTTCCACCCTCCCGAATGTTACTACAAGCGAGTAGCTCGCGAGGTGGGCGCGGCCGTGCGGGGCTGGGGATGTGGGAGAGCCAGGTCTAGAAGGGGCGCGGGGACCGGGCACTCATCGGGTGCCATAGACAGGGTGTTCACTCGTCCCTGTGCCGCAGACCAACGCGTGGCGGCTGAGCGAGGCGAACGAGGACTTCAGCTTGTGCCCCAGTTACCCCCGCGCCGTGATCGTGCCTCGCGCGGTGGACGACAGTGCTCTGGCGCGCAGCGCCCGCTTCCGTCAGGGAGGCCGCTTCCCTGTGCTCAGCTACTACCACGCTCCCAGCGGAACCGTGAGCCCCGCCCCTCCCCAGACCCCGCGGCTAGGACCCTCTGCCTCTCCGTTTGGCTCCACTCTTCCCTAGCGGGCTCTTAGGCCGTCCTGGCCGTAATGTGCCCCGCCCCCTCGGCTCAATCGTGCCTTCACCGGTGCTGACCCCGCCCCTCTCCGCAGTTTTGGAGTCTCCCCGGCCTCTGGCTCCGCCTCCGGCTGGTCTGGCCCCCTCCCCGAAACCTCCTCTTCTTTTGTCCACCCGTGACCCGCCCACGGCCTACTCTCGGGTCCCTTCTCGCTCTGGCCACAACCCACCGAGACCCAATTCGAAGCCCGTAGGGTTCCTGAGCTCCATCCAGCCTGCCGCGGCCAGCTCTAGATCCGCTCCAGTGTGTACACCCGGCCGAAGGGATGCCCTGAGCGAAGTTCCTGAGCCAAGACTGGGTGGGTACAGTTTCTGGAGCTGGATCCCTGTCTGCAGGTGCTGCTACGTGCAGGTCAGCCCCTGACTGGGCCCCAGAAGCGGCGTTGCTCTGAGGACGAGGAGCTGCTGAGAGCTGTGCTGGCGGGGGCTCGGCCCGGGGCCCGGGGCTTCATCGTGGACACACGCTCGCCCCAGGCCGCCAAACAGGCCCGCATGACTGGCGGGGGCACCGAGGCCAAGGCTGCCTACCCTGGCTGGAAACGACTGCACCGGCCCCTGGAGAGGTAAGGGGCTTTCTCATGCCCTCCTAGGTTCTTTCCTGCAGGACTCGTCATGGATGGGGGTGGGGGACTGGTGTCTTCTAGGAACTTCCAAGACTTTGGTCTTTCCTGGTAGCCATCCTGCCAGGTGGGCATGGACACGTGCAGGCACCCACTGACAAAGCTCTTTCCTCTCTAGGCATCCCAACTTTGCCTGGAAAGAGAAATCTCTTCTTTCAATGTAAACTGAAATTTGTCTTCCAGGAACAACTTCATCACACACACACACACACTCTCACTGTCTCCACACTGGTCCCAGCCCCACCCTGAGGGCTGTACCCGCACAGTTGTTATCTGTTCC